TGCAAGAGTCTCTGGCACTCGAGTTGCAAATGGCAAAATATTTAAATGTAACTCAATTTGGAGCGCGCTGGAAACCACTGCCCCAACAAGGAGATGCAGGACAACAGAGCAGCAGCCGCAGGGGCAGGAGCAGGAGACAGCAAATGTGTGTGTCCTTCTACCCATAATAACAAGATATTTCTATTTGATTTATTTATAAGTGCAATTTGTGCGCATTCCTTTTGCAAAACTCTCGCCGCTCCCAATGCCTTTTAAGCTTCGACACACACACACACACATGCACACGAACAAACACGCGCTCACACATACTTACATTTGAAACGGGGTGTGGTCTTCTGACTGCAGGGAAATGCAATGTTTTATTGACGACAGGCAATTCAATTTGCAAAGTCTGTAATATATTTTGATGCCAAAGCACAAATAAAAATTGAAATCAAATGCAAAGCATAGCTGAAAATCAAATAAAATAAGAAATTCAAATGGCAACGGCTGTTCGTGGGTATTGCTTGATTTTTGCCACGCCCACAGAATGCTTGAAAATATTGCATATTGCATGGATAATCTGAGTCAATATAAAAAGGTGAAATTTATAAACGGAGATGGGCACTCTGAATACCGAATGGAGTCCATTTAAAGGGAAAATTAAAAGGTCTTAATTGTCTTAATTATATTAGAATTTTTAATTATATTAGAATTTATATACAACTTTATCGAAGCCCTTCTAGCTCTCTAATATATTCGTAGTGATGAACTCTTTGCCGTATCTATGAGGCACACCTTTAGGCAAATGTTAAACGATTCTGAGTTCTGCAAACGGTGTAAATAAACGCAAGAGAATTATTAATGCGGACACCTTATCAAAAATGGCAGCAATCAGCACGCTCAGTTAGCACCTCATTACGAGCTCGAAAGGCAAGCGAGAAGGGTGCGGGCAGTCAAGCTTATTGCTGACCAACCCATACACACACACACACTCACATACACACATACACACACATACGTTAATCGTAGCATTTCTTTTGCAGCTGCAGCTGAGAGGGAGGCAACGGTGGCGGAGGGGCACCCGTCAAAGCCAAGTGGCGTGTCAATTGGCCATTAACATGGAGCTCAGCCCGATAAATATAACCACTAGGAGGAAAAAGCAGCGCCTGGCACAGCGCTCCGAGCCAGGCCAAGCCGCCTCCTGATTGATGCTAAAGGTGTTGGCTGATTGAGCAGCACCTGGCCTAAGTTCTTGACTACGATCTGACCCGTTGGTCAGCTTGAAAAGTCTTTTAGCTGAAGGGGTCTTTTTCTGTGCTGTTCTTGCTGTTGTTGTTGTTCCTTGTACAAGGGATGTCGTTGGGTTGTCAAGGGACTGTGTGGCTGCACGTCAACTTTGTCGCGCGTCAGACGAAAAATTTTAATTAAAAAATTAAATGCGGCAACACTTGGAAATTTGTAAGAAAATTGCTCATTAAAAGTTTTCACCTGGTGAGACGCTCAAAAGCGCAAATCTCGACACTAATTTTCTTTTTCATGTAATTATGTGCAGCAGCAAAAACTGGCAAAAGTCTGAGAAAGAGTAAATGGCTCGAAAATACCCTGCATAAAAATGCTGATTAGGTTATACAGAATCTATAAAATACTGAATGTAATCTTTTAAAATATATGT